TTAGCACACTGCTTTTAGAGGACATTCTAGGTGTAGACAGTAGAAGAGGTCCTCAAGAACCATGGCATACTGTCATCATCCCCAAGTTACTAAGCAACCCAAACACCTACAAAGTAAAACCTCATTTCCCCACCTGATGCTTTCGTCTTAGATGTGGTGAGGCTGTGGAGAAGAACAAGCGGCTCATCACAGCAGAGCAGAGGGAGTACCAGCAGGAACTCAAGAAGAACTACAACAAGCTGAGGGAGAGCCTCAGGCCTATGATAGAGAGGAAAATTCCAGAGCTCTACAAACCCATCTTCAGGGCTGACAGTCAGAAGAGGTAAGAAGCGGGCAAAGATGCCTCTTCCTGGGGATAAGAGACTGATGAGGTACCACAAATTGAGCCCACTCAGCTGCACTTGGCAGAATGCAGAAGCCCCAGGGTGGACTGGGCCTGGAGTTAGAGAGGCTGCCAGCCCATATGTTTGTGTTCTCCTCAACCTTCCCCTTTACCTCTCCCAGGCCCTCCTTCTTGACCTTGTGCCAGTGCCTTCCCACTGAGCTCTGTGTGTGGGGTGTGTGTGTGTGTGTGTGTGTGTGTGTGTGTGTGTGTATGCACACACCTGGTATGAAGGCATCTCACACCCTTTCCCAAGTTCCCCAGGACCCATGTCTTTCTGGTTAGTGAAACACCAATTCTCTCTCTCTCTCTCTTCCTTTCCTTTCTCGTGGTACATGGATTAACCTAGGACTTCATGAATGCCAGACAAATACTCTACCACTGAACTGCGAACTGCATTCTCGCTATTCACCTTGTGTTCTCTCTCTCTCTCTCTCTCTCTCTCTCTCCCCTTTATTTCAGAGACTCCTTCCACAGATCTAGTTTCAGGAAATGTGAAACTCAATTGTCACAGGGGAGCTAAGAAAAGCCACTTTTGCCTATGGTGACTGAGGCTCTGCCACTCGGAGAAGGACTCGCTGGTTCTTCAAACACAGGACGGCAGCCACCCAGGACTGACCACACATTCCCTGTTCAGCCAGCACTCTGGAAACTTTGGGGGTCAGAACTATGGAATGACATCCAAATGCACTCCAGCCTGATCTTGGTTACATGGGGGAGGGGGTTGGTAATCAGAAGTGACTGTATTTATTAAAGTCGTTTTTCACAATGCTGTACAAAGCAAAGCCTAAGCTATTTATGCTGAGTCGTTGCTCAGTTCCACCCTCTGGCCTATGTTTGAATATATAGGATTAACTCAAATTGTGCAAGGAAGAATGAAATTGTCCAGCAGCTAGTCCAAAGGAAGCTGGCCCTTATGGGAAGGGAAGACAAACTCTAGGAACGTGCCACGGTTTTCAGTACTGTATGAAAAGAAGCCTTCCTGGCAGCCTCCTGACAGCTGGAAATCTGCAAATAGATTATTGGATAACTTGTTATCTTTTAATCCTTCTGGTTTCCTGGACTGTTGTTGCTTCTGCTTCATTGTAACGGTTGTGCTGAGCCAGCACACCCTTACAGCAGACACCTGCGGCCCGGCCTAGGAGACAGTCCATGTCACTCAGCCACATTCGCTGACACCACATTCACATTCACACCAGAAGCAACTCCCCTACACCTTCTGCTGGTTTTCTGTATGCTGGCTCTCACTACCCTCTTTTTCTTCTAAGACAAAGTGCATTTTTATAAAAGGGTAATGTCTCTGCTTTCATTTCAGGACATTGTATTCTCTGCTACAAATATATTTTGCTTTGAATTCTTTTGACAATGTATTTTAGGAAAAAAGATGAAAAAAGCTATTGAGAATAAATTATATATTTTTAGTTATGACTGACTGATGACCCTGACTGATACTGAAGATGGACTGAAAGTGGCAAAATGCTACCTTTTGCAACTGAGGTTTTGTTACTTTGACAATTGGGAGTGTTGTAAAGCTTCCAGAGCCTGAGCATGGCCTTGGTCAAGTAGCACCTGCGAAGCAACTTTTAATCTTGGTGGTTAGGAGAGAGAATTTAGTTTGAATAGTTGAAAAGTTTTGTATGTGCCTTTTGGTATACATGAAATTGTGTTTTGAAAGAGGGCATTTTAAAAAAATAATTAAGGATGAGCATGTTGGCGTATGCCTTTAATCCCAGCACTCAGGGGCAGAGGCAGGTGGATCTCACTAAATTCATAGCCAGCCTGGTCTACATAATGAGACCCTGCCTCAATAACTACTCATGATGACGGTGGTGGTGATGATGAAGGCTTACTTTGTGTTTTTTATGTTGAGCCTTTAACTGTTGTGCCAGCTCTCCAGCCTATTTTTGATTTTTTAGGCATTTGGGGCAGAACTTTTTCTCTTTTTTAAAATTTCTTTTTCAACTTTTCAAATGTGTGTGTGTGTGTGTGTGTGTGTACTCATGGTCACATATCTCACCTTCTCAAACTGTGCTTTTTTTCAAATGTGTGTGTGTGTGTGTGTGTGTGTGTGTGTGTGTGTGTGTGTGTAATGTGCCTGTGTGTGGATGCACATGCATGTGTGTATATGTGCATGTGTACATGTGGAGGTTCAGGGTTCATGCCAGGAATTGACAGGAAATTACCCTTGATCACTCCTCACCCTATTCACTAAGGCAAGGTCTCTGTTAGAGATCACTGATGGCCAGTCTTGCCAACCAGCTTGCTGTGGGGAGGGGATCACCTGTCTCTTGCCTTCTAAAGCTGGAGTTACAGAAAGGCTGCCACACCCAGTTGGCATTTTTGTGGCTTCTGGGAATCAGAGCTCTGGTGTTTATATTTGGGTGGCAAATGCTTTAACCTCTGAGCATCTCCCCAGCCCAGCAGAACTTTTTATGAAGAACACTAAACTAACTGCTTTCTAAAAGGAGTGTACATGATATATTTTAATTGCATTGTTTTAGCACCTTCTCTGTGGGCATCACTGGGTGAGACCAGGGTCAAAAACCTTTGTCACTGACCTCTAAAGTCTCTCTGTTTAGTGAGGAAGATCCAGTACAGATACAGAAGAATCAAGACTACAACAGACCTTGTATCATGCTACCTTTTCTGAGTGACTCAAAGGATGACTATCATCAGCATCTATTTTAGTCTGCTCTGAAACAAAGAGTTAGATGCTAAGTTACATAGGGCTAGCTCTTAATCCCAATAGCCCTACTAGCTCTGGCCATTCCTCATTAAATGTCCCCTGCTTTTCAAAATCTGTTGACCATTTTGAGATATTTTTTCAACCTCTCTTGCACTGTGGTGATACACCTGATTTTTGAGTGTGAGATAGTTTCCACTGCTGCATTCCTGTCCCTTATTTGCATGTTCAACATAGAAGGCACTCACTAAGTGCTTGTTGATTGAGTGAATTCATCAAGAACTAATAGGCCTGTTTCTAGAAGTACTCTGCCCAACAGAAATATAATAAGTCAGGGCTAGAGAGATGGCTCAGCAGTTAAGAGCACTGACTGCTCTTGCAGAGGACCTGGGTTTGAGTCCCAACACCCGCATGTCAGCTAACGACCATCTGTAACTCCAGTCCTAGGGTATCCAACGCCCTCTTCTGACCCCCGAGGCATTGCACAACACAGGTGCACTTACATACATGCAGGCAATACACTTATACACATAAAATTAAAAATAATAAAATATTGTTTTTTAAAAAGAATGTGGTAAGTCAAGATACCATTTAGGGACTGGAGAGATGGCTCACTGCTTAAGAGCACTGGCTGTGCTTGTTGAGGATCTGTATTCAGTTCCTAGCACCCACGTGGCAGCTAACAACCATCCATAACTCCAGTTCCAGATCTGAGGCCATCTTCTGGTCTCCAAGAGCACTGCATGCATGGGTGCACTTACATACATGCAGGCAAAACACTCAAACACATAAAATAAAAATAAATAAATTTAGGGGTTGGAGAGATGGCTCAGCAGTTAAGAGCACTGGCTGTTCTTGCAGATGACTTGGGTTCAAATCCCAGCATCCACATGGCATCTAACAACTGTCCATAACTTCAGTTCCAGAGGATCTGACAGCCTCTTCTCTCCTCCGTATGCACTGCACAACATGGGTACACTTGCATGCACGCAGGTATAACATGCATACACATAAAATAAAAATAAAAATTTTAATTTTTAAAAAATGTCATTACCATTTTGACTTTTCTAGTAGCCACATTAAAAATAAGACACACAAATGTAGTCCTAGCACTTGGGAGACTGCGGCAGGAGGATCAGAAGTTCAAAGACAGCTTTGTCTATATAGTGAGTCTGAGGCCAGCCTGGTCTACATGAGACTTCGTCCCCTAAACCTCCCCCCCCCAAATTATCACTGTCATTAATTTTATGAATTTATTTAACCCAGCATATACAAACATCATTTTGTCATTCAGCAGTATAAAAATGATTATTTATATTCTTTTTTCAAATTAAGTCTTAGAAATCTTTTAACATGTTTTATACTTACAACACACCTTGATTGAAACTAGCTACATCTCAAGTGCTCAGTAATCACCTGTAGCTGTGCTGAATATCATATTGGACCATGTGCTGTTCCAGAAGCTTCCATCTTCTCTAACTTGCTATGTCCCATCTATGAGCTCAGAATATAGATAACCAAACTCATGGGAATAGTGTCTGAAGTCAACCATCAGAACTGAGATTGAGGGCCGCTGACAGGAGGACCAGTGGCCGAGGCACAGACCTCCCCATGCTGGCCTTGCTGCTCGGCCTCTGCACTAACTCCCGGCTCTTCTCTCAACCCTAGACACTTTGCTGTTAAAGTCAACATTAAGTAAAGTGTGTCTGCATAAACAACTTGGCTGCTCATCTTCTGAATATACATTCTAAGGAGAGAAGCATTTTAAATATTTCTGGCAGAGTGCAAGTTAAGCTATTTTCTGAAAACTTAGAGAAACCTGACGTGCCAGGAAAGCCCTCTGGATCCCAGAGGGCAATCCTCTAGGAAAGCTAGGGGGAAGGTCCTCTGATCTGCTCTGTTCTTCCCTCCTTCAGCAAGGTGGGGGTGCAATTGTCACTGCACATAAGAATCTTGGAGAAGATCTGGGAGATGACTCAGCAGTAAATGCAGTGACTGCCAAACCTGAGGACCAGAGTCTGGTCCTCCAGAGCCGCATGGTAGGAGAGAACTGACTCCCAAGAGCTGTCTTCTGACCTCCACACAGGTGCTGTGGCATGCATGTACCACCACACACACACACACACACTAAATAAATGTAAATGTAATGTTTTTTAAAGTTTAAAAGAAAAAAATCTTAGGGAAACTAAGCATGAGTGTTTGCATATACCTGGTTGAACTAGTGTTAAACTCTCTAATTTTCTTTCTTTCTTTCTTTCTTTCTTTCTTTCTTTCATGATGGGCTGATTCTGATAGAATTTGTAATTTTCTCTTTATTTTTTTAAATTATTTTCATTTTATGTGTTTGAGTGTATTGCCTGCATTTAAGTAAGTGCACCCATGTTGTACAATGACTGTGGAGGTCAGAAGAGCGTGTTGGAGCCCCTGGAACTGGAGTTATGGATGGTTGTTCACTGCCATGTGGGTTCTGGGAATCAAACCCAGGTCCCCTGTAAGAACAACCAGTGCTCTTAACCGCTGAGCCATCTTTCCAGCCTGAAATTAACTCTTTTTTTTTCTGTTTTGTTTGCTTGCTTATTTCTGTTTTCTTTTTGATTTTTAAAAATATTTTATTATTTTTATTTTATATGTATGAGTGTTATGCCTGCATGTAGGTAAATGCACCTGTGTCGTACAATGCCCACAGGACAAAAGAGGACATCAGATCCCCTAGAACTGGAGTTATGGACAGTTTTAGCTGCCGTGTGGGTGCTGGGATTTGCACCTGGGTCTTCTGCAAGAACAATCATTGTTCTTAACCACTGACCCATCTCTCCAGCTCTTAATTTCTTTTTAGATTTTTTTTTAATTTTATATACTTATTTTATGCATATGCTTGCTTTACCTGCATGTGTCTAAGTGTACCTGTATGCATTGCAAACAGAGGCCAGAAGAGGGTATTGGATCCCCTAAAACTGGAGTTAAAGATGCCATGTGGGTGCTGGCCATTGAATCCATGTTCTTTGCAAGAGCTGTCAGTGCCCTTAACCATTGAGCCATCTTTCCAGCCTTCTGTCATTTCTGTAAGGCATGCTTTCTATGACAATAGATTTGATTTTAAAGAAAGCATGGTTTTAGAGCTTGGAAATTATGGTTACAAATACAGTTTCAAAGATGGGGAGCCTTTATTTTGCTAAGAATGTATCTTTAAGTGCTTGTTATCTCAAACTTTGTAAAGCTACTATTGATTATGCATGATTTTATAAAGAAATACAAAACAATAGCAACAAACACAAAGATTCTGAACATGCTCCCAGAATATTAGCCATGTTCAAAGTAAACATCCATTTTATCCATGCTGAAGTCAATCTCTATCAATCTTTTTCATATTACAGATTCAAATCTGTTGAGGCCTGAAATCTCATCAGTTTACAATAGCAAGAAACAGTAACTATATCTCCAAGTTTTTGAGTGAAATCTTGATGATGCTGATCCCACCCCAGTTCCCAGTTTTGAGTGGCTTATCTGTGCAGTGTGGTCTGGGGTTTCACACATGCTGTAGTCAAGGGCTTGACCAGAGCAGCTTTCACGTGAGGGTGGAGCATCCTATTCTAAGATGACTCATTCAGAGCCCTGGAAAGCAGAGGCTTGTTATTACTGAGAGGCTTCAGTTCTTCTCCATGGAATCCTTGACCTTTCCTTAGGAGACTTGACCACATTCAT